GTGTGTGTGAGGTGTTAACCAGCAGATTTTCTCTGTCAGGGACAACATCCGCAGCATCTCTCTGGGTACAAACAGTAACGACGTGGCGATCCCTCTGAGCGGCGTCAAAGAGGCGTCCGCTCTCGACTTCGACGTGTCAGAGAGGAGGATTTATTGGACGGACATTCAGGCCAAGGTGAGCGGGGGTTATTGAAGTGTAATGACTGAATTTAATGGAACACAAAAACGTTTCTGATATTTCCTCAGCGACTTCATCCAAACAAGGAAAATGTAAACAGGAAGTGATGTGTCAATGTTGCAAACAACCTTGGTTTTGTCCAATCACAAACAAGTAGTGCAGTCCTACCCGTGCTTTTGCATTTGACCTTCAGGGCCTCCGTACTTATGAAAGGTAAACACAAACAAAACACACAGCTATCAGAGTTTAGAAAAAGTAAGCCTGTCAAACGATCACATTTTTAATCGCATGTTTGAAAAGCCTTTATTTTGCATTTAGAAATAAAATTGTTTTAGTTTTTATTTTGAAATTTTTGTACTTTCTTAAGCTGAGAGTATTGTTACTTGCTGTGTGCTTTTATTTTGAAATAAAGTAAGGCCCTTCCTGTAGATGGAAGGTTGGACAGGAAGTTGAGCACAGAAACAGGAAGTGGTTAGGGATAAAAAAGTGAGGTCAAACAGCTCAAAGGAACGGTAACAAAGGTCAGTGTGTGATGTCATGAGGTCAGTGTGTGATGTCATGAGGTCAGTGTGTGATGTCATGAGGTCAGTGTGTGATGTCATATGGTCAGTGTGTGATGTCATAAGGTCAGTGTGTGATGTCATAAGGTCAATGTGTGATGTCATGAGGTCAGTGTGTGATGTCATGAGGTCAGTGTGTGATGTCATATGGTCAGTGTGTGATGTCATAAGGTCAGTGTGTGATGTCATGAGGTCAGTGTGTGATGTCATGAGGTCAGTGTGTGATGTCATATGGTCAGTGTGTGATGTCATAAGGTCAGTGTGTGATGTCATAAGGTCAATGTGTGATGTCATGAGGTCAATGTGTGATGTCATGAGGTCAATGTGTGATGTCATAAGGTCAGTGTGTGATGTCATAAGGTCAATGTGTGATGTCATAAGGTCAGTGTGTGATGTCATGAGGTCAATGTGTGATGTCATGAGGTCAGTGTGTGATGTCATGAGGTCAGTGTGTGATGTCATGAGGTCAGTGTGTGATGTCATCAGGTGGATATTACTGTCTGAGTTAGTTAAAGTGAAATGAGACAGACTTCTACATCACTGAGACTACAGGGAGACACTGAGGACTGACATGAAAAACAAACTGTGACCAGCGTTTGGTTCTTTCTGTTCTCAGTGACGTCTGTGATCGACCTGCAGGCGCCGTGTCGGATTAATAAGTAATCTTAACCTTTCCTCGTGTCTCTCAGACGATCAGCCGGGCGTACATGAACGGCAGCTCTGTGGAGCACGTCATAGAGTTTGGACTCGACTACCCAGAAGGCATGGCGGTCGACTGGATGGGTCGCAACATCTACTGGGCCGACACGGGCACGAACCGCATCGAGGTGGCCCGGCTGGACGGTCAGCATCGACAGGTTCTGGTCTGCAAGGACCTGGATAACCCTCGCTCGCTGGACAACCCTCGCTCCCTGGCTCTGGACCCCGCCAACGGGTAAGAACGAGAACTACAACATCCAAAGAACGCTTTGTGGACGAGTGTGAACAGGATGAATCGGGCTGCTGCAGGCCCGTGTGTCTGTGAGGTGTGACTTCATGTAGCGTGTGTTTTCACTCTGAGAGAGTGAAGCGATGTCATCATGAAGGTATGCAGGTACCACAGCCAAAGCCACGCCCCCTTTTCTCCCATAACCCTCCAGCTGAGAGAGGCAGGATGCTATTAAACCAGTTTGTTACCCACTGTGTGTGTGTATGCGTGTGACTGTGTGTGTGTGTGTGTGTGTGTGTGTGTGTGTGTGTATGCGTGTGAGTGTGTGTGTGTGTGTGTGTGTGTGTGTGTGTGTGTGTGTGTGTCTGTATGCGTGTGACTGTGTGTGTGTGTGTGTGTGTCTGTATGTGTGTGTCTTTGTGTGTGTGTGTGTGTGTGTGTGTGTGTGTGTGTGTGTGTGTGTGTGTGTGTGTGTGTGTGTGTGTGTGTGTGTGTGTGTGTGTGTGTGTGTGTGTGAACCTCACCTGTGGATGTCTTCATGATGTCATGGTTCAGATCTGTCAGCGTGCTCGCCTCCAGGCGTCTGATGTCATCAATGATGTCATTAATTAAAAACACAAACATGTTTCTGAGTAAACAGGAAACAGGAGAGCGTGTTCCTGCAGCACGCCGCCGTGGAGACGTTGTGTAATGTTTGTGTTGTTGTGCAGATTCATGTACTGGACCGAGTGGGGGGTCGGCCTCGCATCGCCCGGGCCTACATGGACGGCAGCACCACAAACACCCTGGTGGACAAAGTGGGCCGGGCCAACGGACTGACCATCGACTACGTAGACCACCGACTGTACTGGACCGACCTGGACACGTGCATGATCGAGAGCACCAACATGCAAGGTTCAGACAACACCATCCATTAGAGAGCTATCAGACAACACCATCCATTAGAGAGCTATCAGACAACACCATCTATTAGAGAGCTATCAGACAACACCATCTATTAGAGAGCTATCAGACAACACCATCCATTAGAGAGCTATCAGACAACACCATCCATTAGAGAGCTATCAGACAACACCATCCATTAGAGAGCTATCAGACAACACCATCTATTAGAGAGCTATCAGACAACACCATCCATTAGAGAGCTATCAGACAACACCATCCATTAGAGAGCTATCAGACAACACCATCCATGAGAGAGCTATCAGACAACACCATCCATTAGAGAGCTATCAGACAACACCATCCATTAGAGAGCTATCAGACAACACCATTCATTAGAGAGCTATCAGACAACACCATCCATGAGAGAGCTATCAGATAACACCATCTATTAGAGAGCTATCAGACAACACCATCCATTAGAGAGCTATCAGACAACACCATTCATTAGAGAGCTATCAGACAACACCATCCATGAGAGAGCTATCAGACAACACCATCCATTAGAGAGCTATCAGACAACACCATCTATTAGAGAGCTATCAGACAACACCATCTATTAGAGAGCTATCAGATAACATCATCCATTAGAGAGCTATCAGACAACACCATCTATTAGAGAGCTATCAGACAACACCATCTATTAGAGAGCTATCAGACAACACCATCCATTAGAGAGCTATCAGACAACACCATCTATTAGAGAGCTATCAGATGACATCATCCATTAGAGAGCTATCAGACAACACCATCCATGAGAGAGCTATCAGACAACACCATCCATTAGAGAGCTATCAGACAACACCATCCATTAGAGAGCTATCAGATAACACCATCTATTAGAGAGCTATCAGATAACACCATCCATTAGAGAGCTATCAGATAACACCATCTATTAGAGAGCTATCAGATAACACCATCTATTAGAGAGCTATCAGATAACACCATCCATTAGAGAGCTATCAGACAACACCATCCATTAGAGAGCTATCAGACAACACCATCTATTAGAGAGCTATCAGACAACACCATCCATGAGAGAGCTATCAGACAACACCATCTATTAGAGAGCTATTAGAGAGCTATCAGACAACACCATCTATTAGAGAGCTATCAGACAACACCATCTATTAGAGAGCTATCAGACAACACCATCCATTAGAGAGCTATCAGACAACACCATCCATTAGAGAGCTATCAGACAACACCATCCATTAGAGAGCTATCAGACAACACCATCCATTAGAGAGCTATCAGACAACACCATCCATGAGAGAGCTATCAGACAACACCATCCATGAGAGAGCTATCAGACAACACCATCCATTAGAGAGCTATCAGACAACACCATCCATGAGAGAGCTATCAGACAACACCATCTATTAGAGAGCTATCAGACAACACCATCCATGAGAGAGCTATCAGACAACACCATCCATGAGAGAGCTATCAGACAACACCATCTATTAGAGAGCTATTAGAGAGCTATCAGACAACACCATCTATTAGAGAGCTATCAGACAACACCATCCATTAGAGAGCTATCAGACAACACCATCTATTAGAGAGCTATCAGACAACACCATCCATTAGAGAGCTATCAGACAGCACCATCTATTAGAGAGCTATCAGACAACACCATCTATTAGAGAGCTATCAGACAACACCATCCATTAGAGAGCTATCAGACAACACCATCCATTAGAGAGCTATCAGACAACACCATCCATTAGAGAGCTATCAGACAACACCATCCATGAGAGAGCTATCAGACAACACCATCCATTAGAGAGCTATCAGACGACACCATCCATTAGAGAGCTATCAGACAACACCATCCATTAGAGAGCTATCAGACAACACCATCCATTAGAGAGCTATCAGACAACACCATCCATTAGAGAGCTATCAGACAACACCATCCATGAGAGAGCTATCAGACAACACCATCCATGAGAGAGCTATCAGACAACACCATCCATTAGAGAGCTATCAGACAACACCATCCATTAGAGAGCTATCAGACAACACCATCCATGAGAGAGCTATCAGACAACACCATCTATTAGAGAGCTATCAGACAACACCATCTATTAGAGAGCTATCAGACAACACCATCTATTAGAGAGCTATCAGACAACACCATCCATTAGAGAGCTATCAGACAACACCATCCATTAGAGAGCTATCAGACAACACCATCCATTAGAGAGCTATCAGACAACACCATCCATTAGAGAGCTATCAGATAACACCATCCATTAGAGAGCTATCAGACAACACCATCTATTAGAGAGCTATCAGACAACACCATCTATTAGAGAGCTATCAGACAACACCATCTATTAGAGAGCTATCAGACAACACCATCTATTAGAGAGCTATCAGACAACACCATCCATGAGAGAGCTATCAGATAACACCATCTATTAGAGAGCTATCAGACAACACCATCTATTAGAGAGCTATCAGACAACACCATCCATGAGAGAGCTATCAGACAACACCATCCATGAGAGAGCTATCAGACAACACCATTCATTAGAGAGCTATCAGACAACACCATCCATGAGAGAGCTATCAGACAACACCATCCATGAGAGAGCTATCAGACAACACCATCCATGAGAGAGCTATCAGACAACACCATCCATTAGAGAGCTATCAGACAACACCATCCATTAGAGAGCTATCAGACAACACCATCCATTAGAGAGCTATCAGACAACACCATCCATGAGAGAGCTATCAGACAACACCATCTATTAGAGAGCTATCAGATAACACCATCCATTAGAGAGCTATCAGACAACACCATCCATTAGAGAGCTATCAGATAACACCATCCATTAGAGAGCTATCAGATAACACCATCCATTAGAGAGCTATCAGATAACACCATCCATTAGAGAGCTATCAGACAACACCATCCATTAGAGAGCTATCAGACAACACCATCCATTAGAGAGCTATCAGATAACACCATCCATTAGAGAGCTATCAGACAACACCATCCATTAGAGAGCTATCAGACAACACCATCCATGAGAGAGCTATCAGACAACACCATCCATGAGAGAGCTACCAGATAACACCATCCATGAGAGAGCTATCAGATAACACCATCCATTAGAGAGCTATCAGACAACACCATCCATTAGAGAGCTATCAGACAACACCATCCATGAGAGAGCTATCAGACAACACCATCCATGAGAGAGCTATCAGACGACACCATCCATTAGAGAGCTATCAGACAACACCATCCATTAGAGAGCTATCAGATAACACCATCCATTAGAGAGCTATCAGACAACACCATCCATTAGAGAGCTATCAGACAACACCATCCATGAGAGAGCTATCAGACAACACCATCCATGAGAGAGCTATCAGACGACACCATCCATTAGAGAGCTATCAGACAACACCATCCATGAGAGAGCTATCAGACAACACCATCCATTAGAGAGCTATCAGACAACACCATCTATTAGAGAGCTATCAGACAACACCATCCATGAGAGAGCTATCAGATAACACCATCCATGAGAGAGCTATCAGATAACACCATCTATTAGAGAGCTATCAGACAACACCATCCATTAGAGAGCTATCAGACAACACCATCTATTAGAGAGCTATCAGACAACACCATCTATTAGAGAGCTATCAGACAACACCATCCATGAGAGAGCTATCAGACAACACCATCCATTAGAGAGCTATCAGACAACACCATCTATTAGAGAGCTATCAGACAACACCATCCATTAGAGAGCTATCAGACAACACCATCTATTAGAGAGCTATCAGACAACACCATCTATTAGAGAGCTATCAGACAACACCATCTATTAGAGAGCTATCAGACAACACCATCTATTAGAGAGCTATCAGACAACACCATCCATGAGAGAGCTATCAGACAACACCATCCATTAGAGAGCTATCAGACAACACCATCCATGAGAGAGCTATCAGACAACACCATCTATTAGAGAGCTATCAGACAACACCATCTATTAGAGAGCTATCAGACAACACCATCTATTAGAGAGCTATCAGACAACACCATCCATTAGAGAGCTATCAGACAACACCATCCATTAGAGAGCTATCAGACAACACCATCCATTAGAGAGCTATCAGACAACACCATCCATTAGAGAGCTATCAGACAACACCATCATTAGAGAGCTATCAGACAACACCATCTATTAGAGAGCTATCAGACAACACCATCTATTAGAGAGCTATCAGACGACACCATCCATTAGAGAGCTATCAGATAACACCATCTATTAGAGAGCTATCAGATAACACCATCCATTAGAGAGCTATCAGACGACACCATCCATTAGAGAGCTATCAGACAACACCATCCATGAGAGAGCTATCAGACAACACCATCCATTAGAGAGCTATCAGACAACACCATCTATTAGAGAGCTATCAGACAACACCATCCATGAGAGAGCTATCAGATAACACCATCCATGAGAGAGCTATCAGATAACACCATCTATTAGAGAGCTATCAGACAACACCATCCATTAGAGAGCTATCAGACAACACCATCTATTAGAGAGCTATCAGACAACACCATCTATTAGAGAGCTATCAGACAACACCATCCATGAGAGAGCTATCAGACAACACCATCCATTAGAGAGCTATCAGACAACACCATCTATTAGAGAGCTATCAGACAACACCATCCATTAGAGAGCTATCAGATAACACCATCTATTAGAGAGCTATCAGACAACACCATCCATTAGAGAGCTATCAGACAACACCATCTATTAGAGAGCTATCAGACAACACCATCTATTAGAGAGCTATCAGACAACACCATCCATGAGAGAGCTATCAGACAACACCATCTATTAGAGAGCTATCAGACAACACCATCCATTAGAGAGCTATCAGACAACACCATCTATTAGAGAGCTATCAGACAACACCATCCATTAGAGAGCTATCAGACAACACCATCCATTAGAGAGCTATCAGATAACACCATCTATTAGAGAGCTATCAGACAACACCATCTATTAGAGAGCTATCAGACAACACCATCCATTAGAGAGCTATCAGACAACACCATCTATTAGAGAGCTATCAGACAACACCATCCATGAGAGAGCTATCAGACAACACCATCCATTAGAGAGCTATCAGACAACACCATCTATTAGAGAGCTATCAGACAACACCATCTATTAGAGAGCTATCAGACAACACCATCCATTAGAGAGCTATCAGACAACACCATCCATTAGAGAGCTATCAGACAACACCATCCATTAGAGAGCTATCAGACAACACCATCCATTAGAGAGCTATCAGACAACACCATCTATTAGAGAGCTATCAGACAACACCATCCATTAGAGAGCTATCAGACAACACCATCCATTAGAGAGCTATCAGACAACACCATCCATTAGAGAGCTATCAGACAACACCATCTATTAGAGAGCTATCAGATAACACCATCCATTAGAGAGCTATCAGACAACACCATTCATTAGAGAGTCAGCAGGGTGCTCTGTGCTCACACGGTTAGCGCTTTGATGCTAATGCTACATTACTGTCATCTTGTTGTCATGTCTCCTCCAGGCCTGCAGAGGGAGATCATCGTGGACGACCTGCCTCACCCCTTCGGTCTCACTCAGTACCGAGACTTCATCTACTGGACCGACTTCAACCTGCGCAGCATCGAGCGTGCGGACAAGCGCAGCGGACTCAACCGCACTGTGGTGCTGCAGGTACACGCCCACTTCCTCTTTTTGTCTTACCTGGAGACGACTTTTTTCTGAATAAATGTCCTCTCCGTGTCCTCAGGGCCAGCTGGAGCTCATGCTCGACATTCTCGTGTTCCACTCGTCCCGTCAGGAGGGAACCAACGAGTGTTCCCATAGCAACGGAAACTGCGCCCACCTGTGCCTGGCCACGCCCGCTGGCGCTCAGTGCCGCTGCGCCTCCCACTACACTCTGAACTCGGACGGACGAAACTGCAGCTGTGAGTAGAGAGCAGACACACACACACACACACATGGAACAGGAAGTGAAGTACAGCGTCCTGTCTCCATGACAACAGTCTCTTCACATTGCCCGCTGCACGCTCCGTTGATGCATGTTTTATATTTTGATCTTTTTATTTCCTTTATTATTTATTTCCTGTGTGTGACCTGTATGTGTGTGTGTGTGTGTGTGTGTGTGTGTGTGTGACCTGTGTGTGTGTGTGTGTGTGTGACCTGTGTGTGTGTGTGTGTGTGTGTGTGTGTGTGTGACCTGTGTGTGTGTGACCTGTGTCTGTGTGTGTGTGTGTGTGTGTGTGTGTGTGTGTGTGTGTGTGTGTGTGTGTGTGTGTGTGTGTGTGTGTGTGTGTGTGTGTGTGTGTGTGTGTGTGTGTGTGTGTGTGTGTGTGTGCAGCTCCCTCCAGCTTCCTGCTCTTCAGCCAGAAGGCGAGTATCAGCCGGATGGTTCTGGGCGAGCAGAGTCCTGACATCATCCTGCCCATCCACGTCCTGAGGAACGTCCGCGCCGTCAACTACGACCCGCTGGACCGGCTGGTGTACTGGCTGGACGGCCGGCAGAACATCCGCCGGGCGAGAGACGACGGCGCCATGGTAACGACTCACACAGCTGGAGGATTATCAAAGAGGATGAAAACACTTTTAATGTTTATTATCTTTGTTCTTAAAGTCAGATTTAATAATAATGATAATAATAATACGTTTCATTTATAATACGGTCACTTCCTCCCCTCATTACGCCGCCAACATTCAGACTGAAGGAGAAACATCACAGGGCGGTAAATATCACCGCGTAAAACGGCGCTCTGAACCGAGCTAACATGTGATGCAGGAAGTGGTTAAAAACTATTGTTTTGTACAGCACTTTGATTTAAAGCGCTTCATAAACAAATAATACTTATTATATTATTATGACATCCCGTGTTGACCATGTGACCTGTGCGTCCTGCAGTCCTCCATGATCGTCAGCAGCAGCGTTCAGGACAACCAGCTCCACGACCTCAGCCTGGACCCCTACAGCCGCCATCTTTACTGGACCTGTGAGACCACCAACACCATCAACGTGCAGCGCATGGACGGACACACAGTGGGCGTGGTCCTGAAGGACGACACGGACAAACCGCGAGCCATCGTGGTCAACGCCGAGAAAGGGTAAGAAAGGAGCGTTTTGAACGCAGACGTGTTGTGCTCTACGTTTAGAAAGGATCGACTCGGGGTGAACACGGCGTGCGTCTCTCTGCAGGTACTTGTACTTCACCACGGTTCAGGAGCGCTCGGCTAAGATCGAGGGAGCGAGTCTGGACGGGACGGAGAGAGAGTCTCTGTTCACCACGGGACTCATCCGACCCGTCGCCCTCGCTCTCGACAACAAACTGGGGAAACTGTTCTGGGTGGACGGAGACCTCAAACGCATCGAGAGCAGCGACCTGACAGGTGAGAGATTTTAAACATCGTAGTCGCTTCACCTCTTTTTTTATTTATTCAACCAGGTTGGTCCCATTGAGATTAAAAACCTCTTTTTCAAGGGAGACCTGGTCGAGACAGGCAGCAGCAAAAACACAAAGTTACAGACGGAAACACAAAGAGAGACAAAGTACAATTTACAAAACACAACATTTAGATTAAAATAGAACCATCTATGAGTCTTATCTGAGAATCAGTTGTTCAAACAGCCGAGCTGAAACATCCACATCCTATTGAACAGGGGTCCCCAAACTTTTTTCTTTGAGGGCCACATAACTTTGCCTTTCTCTGACGGGGCGCCAGGGTCTGTCTGTAACAGAAAATAACATGTGCTGCAGTGACTACCGGTATTATTGTGGCGATAGATTTTATTATGATTATATATTTGCTATGCCTACTGATGCTAGTGTAGTTTCAGGATATTTGTTTATTATGCCTAATGCTAGATCATTTTATTATTTTGTTATGCATTTTGTCACAGCCAGTCTCAAAGACTGATGCAAATGTTCATCGGTAAGTCTTGATCTCATCGGAGTTTTCAGCAGTTTCATGTGTGAAAAGGTTTGCTCGCAGATATATGTGCTGCCAAAAAGTGTGGACATCTTCATAGCATGCTTTTTGATGTTTGGGTAATTGTCTTTTGGGAGTGCCACATAGAATCCAATGTGTCTTTCAAAGCAACACAATTTTGTAACTCGCCAACTCAAACTGATAAGAAGGCAGGGCTTCGTCAATGTCGGCAACAAAGGGGTTCTGGAAAAGACGGATTTCTTTCGAGTGAACATGTAATTCACGGAATCACGCACCAAACTCCGTCTTCAGTATTTCCAGTGCTTCCAAACACTCTTCAGTTGGAAACGGGACCGCTGGTTTCTCAGCAGAGAGTTTTTGGGTAGCAGGGAGATGGGTGAAGTTTTGCTTTTGCACCTGTCCCACGATCAGCACTAGTTTCACCTCAAATGGTTTTATTTGGGAATATCACAAATCAGCTTCCCCTTGCCTTGGAGCTGCAAGTGAAGGCCCTTTAACAGTTCTGTCACGTCCGATAAAAAAGTAAGGTACCATTTCCAAAATAATCATTTGTCCACTGCTGGTTAAATATCCTGCATTCCGAATACATTTTTTGTGTTGTTGAGGTTTCTAGCCGGCTCGCTTCTCCTGATCGGCCTCGGATTTGCTATCAACACGGAATGTCACTTGACGTCAAATGTCACGTTCTGTGTGTTTGTGAAAAAGTTACTTACTAATTAATTTACGAATAGATAAGATTGAAAATAGTTAACAGTTAAGGAACATTTTATTTAAAAAGCCAGACTTTTACAGGTCTATGATAAAAATTAAAAAAAAAAAATAATAATAATTTTCAAAATGCGATTTTGGAATTGTTCTGAGGGCTGGGCCAAATATGGGGAGGGGCCGTATCCGGCCGCGGGCCGTAGTTTGGGGACCCCTGCTATAGAATCTGCTTCCATGTCTTTCATTTTAGTTTTAAAACATTTAAGGACACCGGCTCCTTGAGCTTTAAGTCATTCTGTAACAGATTCCAGGCTGAGGGTGCAGAGTACCCAAAAGCCCTTTCACAATTTCTGTCCGAGTGTTTGGGACAGAGAGCATAAAAACATGCATGATAAAAACAGATAGAGAGGAAGCAGATATATATAAAGGTGTACCAGTGTATGAGCCTACTGGTCGCTGAAGCTTTGTGAATTTGATATCAGATCGGAGAGTTTCATTCTCATCTCAGAGAATCTTCTGATGCTCGAGGCTCTGGCGTGCTGACGGTTCATTCTGTCCCCCTCAGGAGCCAATCGCATCGTCCTCCAGGACTCCAACATCCTGCAGCCGATGGGTCTGACCATCCTGGGAGATCACCTGTACTGGATCGACCGGCAGCAGCAGATGATCGAGAGGGTGGACAAACTGACTGGGGACGGACGCACGCGCATCCAGGGACGGATCTCATACCTGACCTCCGTCCAGGCTGTGGACGAGATGGATCCTCAGGAGTTCGGTAAAGACCTCATGATCTAATCCATACCGTGATAAAGAAGAAGATGATTTAACCTGGATCCTGTTGTTACATCTTTTACACTCAAATATTGAATAATTATCAGGAATTTAACCATTTAAATGCCAGAATCATGTAATCAAACTGGCATTTAAAGGGTTAAATTCCTGATAATTATTCAATATTTGACAGTTTTGAGCAGGGCTGAAGTTGTTTAAGAGATTTATGCACAAAAAAGTAGAAAAAAATATTAAATCTGTTTTATTTTTATAGCAGTTTTTGTAAATTGGACGTTTTCGCCCTCCAATGTCCAAACAGGGAACTACATTTGAAATCTGATGCTACACAAAAACTAACAATGCTTCAAAGTCAATATTTTGGATAATCTTTGACATATCCAATCCTATCCAATCTAATTTTTGTGTTTTTTTCTTAAATAACAACATTGACATCAAGTAATCAAACTGGCATTTAAAGGGTTAAATTCCTAAAAATGATTTAATGTTTGGTAGTTTTGAGCAGGGCTGAAGTTGTTTAATAGATTTATGCAGAAAAAAGTAGAAAAAAATATCAATCTGTTCTATTTTTATATCAGTTTTTTGTAAGTGGACATTTTTTGTCCTTAGTGACTTCAGAGGGTCGTGAATTAAACTGAGGGTTAAATGTTCATCTCTGCAGGGAGGCTGGGTTTAATGTTTAGAGCGAGTTTTTATTGAATAGGTTTACGTTTAAAAAGAAGTGAAAACCTTTAGAGTTAGGTTTAGTTTTGTTTGTTCAGTTTGAGTGATTGGGCCATTTCTTTTCTCCAGCATCACATCCTTGTTCCCGTGACAACGGCGGCTGCTCTCACATCTGCATCGCCAAAGGAGACGGCACGCCTCGATGCAGCTGTCCCATGCACCTGGTGTTACTGCAGGACCTGCTGCACTGTGGAGGTAAACAAACAAACAAACAAACATCAGGATGGTGGTGCAGTCACATTCAGCTTCACCTGTAAACCCACACAGAGGTTCAAACCTCCTCAGGTGGTTTGAGACGAGGGCTGTGGAGGACAGTCTAACGCTCTGTGTCAGCACTCAGACGTACCAGATGGTTCTCTCAGAAAGGTTTTCAAGTTACCCTAAAATCCAGAATCGAAGTCTCTCCCGTATATAAGACGCAGTCTGTTCCATCTGTGGATCATCGGGTCAGGTAGTGTGCAGCTGTGTAGCTCTTGTAGTACCATCTGTTTCCACCAGGTGGAGTTTGTAATCCTGCAGGCTACCTGTAGACCCACAGCCTGTGAGGGGTGCAGCGTGATGGTGAGGGTCTCAGTATTTTATACCGCTATATAGGACGCAGCCAACATCCAAGGGGAACATTTAGTATCAAAAGTATGAAGTCTTATACACCGGATTTGATGGTAAACGTTCACCTTCACTCTCCTCACTCCTTCATCTTCTGAAGCAGTTAAACTCATGTTCATCTTTATTTATGGTATTAAAGTTAAAGTGGACATTCATCAACTATGCTGCTGAAGATGCTCTTTCAAATTGAAGGAAAGGGATTAAATCCCCTGTAAGATCAGAGTTCAGACAACACTGACCGGTGAAAGGTTACACAGGCCGCAAGGATTTACACAAAGTACACAAAGTAACCAGTTTACCCAGTTTACCCAGTTTACCCAGTTTACACAGTTTAACCAGTTTACACAGTTTAACCAGTTTAACCAGTTTACACAGTTTAACCAGTTTACACAGTTTAACCAGTTTACACAGTTTACACAGTTTACACAGTTTAACCAGTTTACCCAGTTTAACCAGTTTACAGAGTTTAACCATTTCAACCAGTTTACACAGTTTAACCAGTTTACACAGTTTACACAGTTTACACAGTTTAACCAGTTTAACCAGTTTACACAGTTTAACCAGTTTACACAGTTTACACAGTTTAACCAGTTTAACCAGTTTACACAGTTTAACCAGTTTACACAGTTTAACCAGTTTAACCAGTTTAACCAGTTTACAGAGTTTAACCATTTCAACCAGTTTACACAGTTTAACCAGTTTACACAGTTTAACCAGTTTAACCAGTTTAACCAGTTTAACCAGTTTAACCAGTTTACACAGTTTAACCAGTTTACACAGTTTACACAGTTTAACCAGTTTAACCAGTTTAACCAGTTTACACAGTTTACACAGTTTAACCAGTTTACACAGTTTACACAGTTTAACCAGTTTAACCAGTTTACACAGTTTAACCAGTTTAACCAGTTTACACAGTTTACACAGTTTAACCAGTTTAACCAGTTTACACAGTTTAACCAGTTTACACAGTTTACACAGTTTAACCAGTTTAACCGGTTTAACCAGTTTACACAGTTTAACCAGTTTAACCAGTTTACACAGTTTAACCAGTTTAACCAGTTTAACCAGTTTACACAGTTTAACCAGTTTAACCAGTTTAACCAGTTTAACCAGTTTACACAGTTTAACCAGTTTAACCAGTTTACACAGTTTACACAGTTTAACCAGTTTAACCAGTTTAACCAGTTTACACAGTTTACACAGTTTAACCAGTTTACACAATTTACACAGTTTAACCAGTTTAACCAGTTTAACCAGTTTACACAGTTTAACCAGTTTAACCAGTTTAACCAGTTTACACAGTTTAACCAGTTTACACAGTTTAACCAGTTTAACCAGTTTACACAGTTTACACAGTTTAACCAGTTTAACCAGTTTACACAGTTTAACCAGTTTAACCAGTTTAACCAGTTTACACAGTTTACACAGTTTACACAGTTTAACCAGTTTACACAGTTTACACAGTTTAACCAGTTTAACCAGTTTACACAGTTTAACCAGTTTAACCAGTTTACACAGTTTACACAGTTTACACAGTTTAACCAGTTTAACCAGTTTAACCAGTTTACACAGTTTACACAGTTTAACCGGTTTAACCGGTTTAACCGGTTTACACAGTTTAACCAGTTTAACCAGTTTACACAGTTTAACCAGTTTACACAGTTTAACCAGTTTAACCAGTTTAACCAGTTTACACAGTTTACACAGTTTAACCAGTTTACACAGTTTAACCAGTTTACACAGTTTACACAGTTTAACCAGTTTAACCAGTTTAACCAGTTTACACAGTTTACACAGTTTACACAGTTTAACCAGTTTACACAGTTTAACCAGTTAACACAGTTTAACCAGTTTAACCAGTTTACACAGTTTACACAGTTTAACCAGTTTACACAGTTTAACCAGTTTACACAGTTTAACCAGTTTACACAGTTTACACAGTTTAACCAGTTTAACCAGTTTAACCAGTTTACACAGTTTAACCAGTTTAACCAGTTTAACCAGTTTACACAGTTTAACCAGTTTACACAGTTTACACAGTTTACACAGTTTAACCAGTTTAACCAGTTTAACCAGTTTACACAGTTTACACAGTTTAACCAGTTTACACAATTTACACAGTTTAACCAGTTTAACCAGTTTAACCAGTTTACACAGTTTAACCAGTTTAACCAGTTTAACCAGTTTAACCAGTTTACACAGTTTAACCAGTTTACACAGTTTAACCAGTTTAACCAGTTTACACAGTTTACACAGTTTAACCAGTTTAACCAGTTTACACAGTTTTAACCAGTTTAACCAGTTT